CCCCGATCTGTTTCTCAAAGTTGTTGCATAATGTTGCAAGTTCATACAATCTCTATCAATCCTCAGTACTCTACTACTTACACTATGTTTGGATCATTGTTACCCATCGTCTTATAATGTATTGTATTGTACTGTACTATATTGTATTGTATCGTTTTATGGATATAACGTTTGAATAGATTATATCGTTTGTTGTTGTTATTTAATATTTTTGTTGTTGATTTGACTGTATCGTACAGTATTGTAACTTCCTTTAAAATCCCACTAACAATAATGAGTCATCATATAAAGCAATCCCATTACATGCCCTTTAAAATACCTTCCTTATTCCTTAAATTCTTAGCCAGATAAACGAATTTAAATTCAAACAAACAGATGTTGCTCGAACACAACTTCTAAGAAGAGTTCCCAAATGATCTTAAGCCTTATTAACCCTTCATAAGACATGAAATGATGAATAACATCTGTCAATAAAAATTCACATGCACAAATTTTTTTCTATAGTTATTCGACTTAATTTATCCAATTTATGTCAATCTCAACCCATACACCAATTTTAGTGCTTTAATAAAATTGGGTTATCATGAGTTCCAATTTTTCTTTCCCTCGGCTATGGAGAGTGATGGGTGTGCAAAGAGGCAGTTATGAAGAACCTGGAAACATAATCGCGATTCACAATTCATGAAAATATAAAATATACAAAAAGAAAGAAAAAAGGGCAAAGAAACGGAAGAACAACATGCATTAGGAGTAAAACTAAATATTCCTTTCGTTTTTAAGTCAGCAGAATAATAAATGTCAATACCGTAAGAAGAAGAGATAGAGGCGAATCAGCGAGAAGAAGGCAACAACAATGAAATTGGACGGAGAATAACCCTTAAAATAGTGATTCCTCATCATCTGGTTGGAAAACACGCAATTCAAGGAAAATCATCCATGAAATTGAAAATAGTTAAACAGATCAAAAAGAAACAAAGAAAGAAAGAGATGAGAGCAAAGATTGAGAGAATGATACCTGAAATTTAATAGATAAATAAGAAGATGAAAAGAATTATTGTTGAAAGTTTGAAGAAAGAGAACTGAAGTACTCCTCCGATGTGTTGGAACAGAAGAGATGGAAGTCGGAAGATGTTTCTATGGAGGATGAGGAATAAAAAAAAGGTCGAAAGAGATGGAGTTAGATACAAGAACTTTTTCCTTTGAGAAAAATGACAATTTTGCCCCGTGGTCGACCATCTCTCCTTTTCTATATAACAGAAATAGAAATTTTAGGCCTATACAGGGAATCATTTAGCTCTCTAAGCCCACTCGGAACCCATGTACGTTCTCAATTCTCAACTCAATGTGTCATGAGGTAAAAGTTCAAAAATAACCATTTTCTGAACTTATAATTGAAAAATAACCACAAATCCAAAAGTCATTAAGAAGTTCAAAAGTATCCAGGACGAAATCCAATACTATGCTATGTAATTTCACTGTTTGAATTCATGACACTATATGAATTTCAAAAGTGATGACAATATAATGGATTTTTTTGTTTGTTTAAGTTCGACATTGTATGAAGCTATCATGGTGTTTCGTAATAAAAGTGATATTTAGTATCCTGGACGAAATCCAATACTATGCTATGTAATTTCACTGTTTGAATTCATGACACTATATGAATTTCAAAAGTGATGACAATATAATGGATTTTTTTGTTTGTTTAAGTTCGACATTGTATGAAGCTGTCATGGTGTTTCGTAATAAAAGTGATATTTAGTATCCTGGACGAAATCCAATACTATGCTATGTAATTTCACTGTTTGAATTCATGACACTATATGAATTTCAAAAGTGATGACAATATAATGGATTTTTTTGTTTGTTTAAGTTCGACATTGTATGAAGCTGTCATGGTGTTTCGTAATAAAAGTGATATTTTTCTACGAACGCTGAAAACACTAATTATTTTTCAAAATCTACCCGAAAAGTGACTAGCATGTACATTTTTTTTACCGTGTCCTGAGCATGTTTGAATCACTATCCAGGCCTTTAGCAGACATACATTGAATTAGGATATTGATGATTTTATGAAGGCTATGCCATTTTACAGTTAAGCTGATTCTGGATTTTACTACTTGCTGTGATTATTTTGGGACAATATCTAATGTACCCTTCGACAGTGTTAATTTTCAATGAATTAAACGAAGAGAAACACAAATTATCAAACAAAAAAGAAGAAGGAACAAAAGTAAAAAGTTGCAAGGGAAGTGCACAAGCAATCATTCTTAGAGCTGCTATTTAGTAATTAGCCAATATTTATTTTGTCCTGAAAATTTAAAGTAAAAATCTTAATTTCAGGCAAATTTAGGACACTTTTATCCTGAAAAATTGAATTAAAAAATAAAATTCATAAAATATTGACTAATTCCTAAATAACAGACCTTTAAAGTGGCTACTTGGTGTCATTTCTACCAAAGTTGTGAGACTGGAATATAGGTACTATTTCCAAAAGAAAAGAGTTCCTTATCAAAAGTTCGAGGATGTACTTCACACATTTTGAAACATTAGGGACCAAACCAAACTATAGGGAACAACTTGAGAGGCGTAATTTTCACGTCATTTTCGTTCGCACTTTCTATTAAAACCCGATAAACCCTCCCAACTCATCAGTCTTTCTTCCTCTCGACAGAGCTAGGGTTTTGTATCAAAATGGCGACTCGCTATCTGACTCGTTCTCTACTCACTGCCTTCACTCGCTCATACAATTCTATTGCACCGCCGAGCTCATTATCTGCTTTCTCTCTCCTCCGCCTGCGACCTCTTATCGCCGTCGCCGCCAATCTAAAAAACGCCTCTCCGCCGCCGACGCCTTTTGCTGTTCGAGGGTTTGCCACTCGACAGACGTCATCGTCTCTCAATGACCCGAACCCTAACTGGTCGAATCGACCCCCGAAGGAGACGATTTTGCTTGACGGTTGTGACTTTGAACACTGGCTTGTTGTGATGGAGAAGCCCGAAGGTGATCCCACTAGGGATGAGATTATTGATAGTTACATCAAAACTCTTGCTACTATTGTTGGAAGGTTTGACTCAGTCCTCTGCTTTTAGTTTCTTCTCCTTTTTTTATGAGCCAACAATTTATAATTGTTAGGAGTACTATTCTATTTTTTATTTTTTTTGATGAAGTAATTTGTTTATTGATGGCATCAAGAAGATGCAGTAGTACAAAAGATAATACAGCAAAAAGAACTAAGTCAGCTCTAAAATAATTCTATTATTTTAGCTTCTGTCAATTTTTTACTTGTTATATTATGTGCTGTTACGCTTACTTGTTAGTGTAGTTGCTAAACCAGCCCAGTTTCGTTTATGTGCTACCTTTAGTTCAATGATAAAATGGGTCAGATTCTATAGAATCAAACCTATGGGCTTAAGGAATAATATTAAAAAGAGAGGACAGTCTTATTAAATTAATACTTATGAAGTAGAAGAACCAGATATCATTAATATATAAAATGAATGTGCGACTCCCAAGCAGACATGCCCTCATCCTAATAGTTTTTTCGAAATAAAGCATTTCTACCAAAACAAGGATAACTTACAGAATGTATCTTCGTGTCACAAATTTTACTCCATGTCATATGCTTGGTGGATAATGCTTTATAAAAATATGACATTTTCTAACAAACGAGGGAAATAACTTCCGTGATAGTCATTTTCCTTTCAGGATATCCCAAATTCTATGCCATATCTCTTTGTTTCAATCAACACTTGGACATCATTGTTAACTTTTAATACTCGAAAGTGAACACCACAACTTTATCCTTGTACTAAATATTACTCCTTCGGGGACTATCCATGTTACCTAATCTTATATCCAACAAGGTTATTCCATGTGAATATTTTCCTCCATACCTAATACACCAAAACAACCTAGTTTAGTTGAACTCAGTTGTGATAAATAGCTTGATGAGAAATAGAATAGGAGGAGGAAAAGGGAACTTCCTTGCGGTTATACTTCTATTTGGAAATGTGTGCCTTGCGTGTGAAGTGTGAACCGGTGTTGTCTTGCTCTAATAGTACTAGAGAAGTGTTTGGCATGTTAAGTAGCTGGAAAGAATGATTAGTTTATTTCTATGGATGGTTTTGTATTAATTGCAGCGAGGAAGAAGCAAGGATGAAGATATATTCTGTCTCAACCAGGCATTACTATGCTTTTGGTGCCCTTGTATCGGAAGAACTTTCGTACAAACTAAAAGGTAATGCAGTTGTTGATGTGGTCTCTCTCTCTCTCTCTCTCTCTCTCTCTCTCTCTCACACACACTCTCTCTCACACAAACACACACATTTTTTGGTATTTTGTGATGGTGTATGAAAGGTAAAGATGTGGAAGCTCTAATCACTTATTCCTTCCATTCATGTGCAGAGCTGCCCAGGGTTCGTTGGGTGCTTCCTGATTCCTATCTGGATGTTAGAAATAAAGATTACGGAGGTAGGCAGTTCCATGTTTTTCAATGCTATCATCTTTCTGTGTCACCGCTAGCGTAGCTTTTTCAGGCTACATGAATGTTATCTTTGATTGTCACACTTGGTATGATATTAGGATAGGTTTTCAATTTTTTACTTGTAGTATCTGTTATGTGGATGAATAGTAATAGTCTGTTGCTTCTAGGCTTTAGAGAGCTTCTTTTTTCATTTCATTCTTCTGCCAATTAGCTTCATTTAGAAAAGAGATAAAAACATCATGTATTTAAAAAGTTAGGATTGGATGTTTGATTCAACTCACTAATTTCGTTTGTGATGTGATCGACACATGGGCGTATAACATTCAGGCCATTAAACTTGGATAAGTTTTGCAGTATTTGTTTCAAAATGAAAAGCAAACAAAAAAAAACCTAGGTTATGTTTCTTGGTATATGTTTTCTCACAGCTTACAGAAAAGCTGGAGAAAAGTTGGAGATCATCTGCTATAAATTTAATGAATCGCCCCCTTTTTCTCCAACGACAGGCATTACTGTGGCATGTGGCTGCAGATGTTTGCAACTTCAACTAGAGTTGTTTTACATGTCTATCTTCTTGCTTAGGTCATGTGTACCAGCTATTCCACTTCAGTGCTTTTTGCTAATATTAGACCACTGTAATGTGTTGCAGGGGAACCTTTTATCAATGGGCAGGCTGTACCTTATGACCCTAAGTACCATGAGGAGTGGGTGAGAAACAATGCTCGTGCTAATGAGAGAAACAGGCGAAATGACCGACCTCGTAATTTTGATAGATCCAGAAACTTTGAGAGAAGAAGAGACATGCAGACTTACCAAAACAGTCAGAACCCTGGATCCAACATGCCACCAGGGGGGCCTCCCAACATGAGGAATCCACCGCCTCCCAACATGGGCGGGATGCAGCAACTTAACATGGGAGGTCCACCCAACATGGGCGGGACGACGCAGCAACCTAACATGGGAGGTCCACCCAACATGGGCGGGATGCAGCAACCTAACATGGGAGGTCCACCCAACATGGGCGGGATGCAACAGCCGGGCATGGGCGGGATAAACCAGCAGGGCATGGGAGGTCCTCCCAACATGGGCAGGATGCACCAGCCGGGCATGGGAGGTCCACCCAACATGGGCGGGATGCAACAGCCGGGCATGGGAGGTCCACCCAACATGGGCGGGATGCAACAGCCGGGCATGGGAGGTCCACCCAACATGGGCGGGATGCACCAGCAGGGCATGGGAGGTCCTCCCAACATGGGCGGGATGCACCAGCAGGGCATGGGAGGGCCGCCCAACCCAGGCGGGATGCACCAGCAGGGCATGGGAGGGCCGCCCAACCCAGGCGGGATGCACCAGCCGGGTATGGGAAGGCCACCCCATGGGGGCGGGATGCAGCAGCCAAACATGCCTCCCAACACAGGAGGTGTACCACCAGCAAACATGGGTGGAGGGCCTACCCATAACTATGGAGGAGTGCCAAACAATGGACCCAATTTCCAATACAACAGCGGATCAAACAGTGGAGGCACACCTTACCCAACAGGTCCAGGACCAAACCAGAGCTACTCTCCTAATCCATCTGATGGAAACTCTTATCAGAATCAAAACTTGCCTGGAAGAGATATGCCCCCTCCAAATTACCGATAAGCAGATGTAGATAATAAGTATGAAGTTCTTAATGCTAGGGTTTTATTTTGCGAAGTAGTGTACCATCTTATGTTTTGGTAGCATGATTTCATCATAATGGTTGGAAATGCAAATGATTACATATTGAGTGCTGTACTAAAAATAATTCATATTTATTTAAGTGCCATCACCTTATTAGAATTGCTGTATTCACTTCATTGTGCCTTTTCAGCCTGCCAGGGCCTCCATGCTATACAAGCCTTTAACTCTCAAGGCTTAATTGCAGATAGAATGTGCTCTGTCAATGTAAAGTATCTAATAACAATAACTCTTCTAGGTATGAGCGATTTTCTGCTCAATAGAAGCTACATTACCATTCAAGATTAAGAACAGTGGTTAATACTAGTCTAATGGTGACAATAGTTACTCGTTTAAGAAGCTATTTCTTAATAGAGCATAAGATTAGGTTCCAATTTCCTTTTAAAGCTCCAAATATAGATTCACAGCCGTGGAAATATGAGGTTTTCAATTGTCACAATAAACAATGGTCCTTTGCATAATATTCTCTATTTAGGAAGTGATACTAACATAGCCAGGCAGATCACTATCATTTCTTAGTTGAACTTTGAGCAGGCACGACAGAAGACTACTGAAATTGTAACACTAGGGAATAAACTAATTTCAACTCAAACAAATCCATCAGGAGATGTATAGCTGAGTTCCAATCCAATTTTTATGCAACTTGAAGGTCAGAGATGGACAGCTCGATGCCTTCACGTTTTTCTCTTTTCCCTTTTTCCCCGACACTAAACCTGAAATCGCAGATTCTGACGTCAGAGTTCTCTCCAAGCGATGTGGGATAGTGCCATAAGGTCGTATATTGATTATTGAAACGGTAATGTAAAACCAAGGGATGTAAAGATAGGATGAGAGAGAAAATTAAGTATAACTAATCTTTCCAAACATAGACAAAGGGTCACAAAACTCGGAACAAATCGCATATCTGCAACATAAGTTGTTTTCTATTCAGTTGTTCCTATTACAATCAGTAGTCACTCCTGAGTTTTATGCTTAGAGAAAAGGAGGTCCACAAGCTACAAAAGATATAGTTTTCCTGAAAAAATGAAGTAAAACACTATATTTGTGAATGATTTGAGAAAGTAGTTTTTTGGTTCATTCTGAATCCACTGGTAAACTGCAGAATTAGGCCTCTGCTGATATTTCAACGGATCCAGAGGATGCAATACTAAAGGCTTTTCCATTCACAACCTCTGTTCTCTTTTTGGCAACACGAATCTGATCTGCAAGTGAAACTGTATTTTGTATTTGTGCTCTCTTTATGAACCCTACATCAAGTCTTTCCCAAGCTCGCCGATGTTCTCTGCAAACCTGACTGAGTGTGGACTTCTTCTTCTGAATCTGTGAACATACAGGAGATGGTCAGTTAAACACAAACAACGCACCAACATGCCAACTTTTTAGCTGCAGAAGAAGCTGTGAACATACAGGATATGACATCAGTTATGAAACACAAATAATGCACCAACATCGCAACTTTTTAGCCGCACTCACATGTGGAATGGAATTCGTTTCAGATTATATTCCATTTCAGTGCTAACTTGTGCATGATAAAAAGTTCAGCAAAAAGTTCAAACTTTGATGTTTGAGAGAATATAATCTGTGACTTTATTTTAGCAGACACGGTAATTTCTTGGAATAGCCAAAGCAATAGCAATTAATTTGGAGTAGCCAGCAAACAAAATAGAAGGGTATTTCAAAATTTTCTGAAATATGAATTTGTCAAAAGTTCGGGAGAAGCCATGGCACTCCTACACCACTTGGGTCCGCCCGTAGTTATCTCCATAATTAGGCCCAGTTAAATGATCTGTAATATGTTATCTTCTAAAAATGAAAGTTGGCAAAAATTGATTTACGTGAGTAAACCATATTCAAGTGTTCAAGCAAGGTTTTGTTGAGTTTTGACCTTCACTAATTTAGCCTTGAGTTTCAATTCTTCAGCAACAGCTAGCTCTTCTTTCTCTTGCTTTGACCGTCTCCTCGGTCTGTTTATTTTTCCTCCAACTTTTTGTTTTTCTTCTCGTTCTTTTCTCCTTTGAGCTAGTCTCTGCATCTTTTCTGTCTTTCTCTGTGCTGCTCTCTCAGCTCGTATGCGTGCCATTTCTTTTGCCTTAGCCTTTTCTGCAGCCGACTGAAGCTGTTCGAGAGCTATCTCTCTTTTAATCTTGTCATAGCTGTCCCATTCTAGTTCTTCTTGGTCACTCCCACCTGCCTTAGCAGCATTTGCAATGCTTTCAGCCCATGACTGAAAGAATTTCTCTCTTGACCTTTTCCATTTTAAGCGTTCCCCCCACAGTTTTCTCAGAGATGTGCGTATTCTTATCTTGGTCTGATTGCTGCAAAAGAGAGTTATTATTGACTTCCAGATTTAAGTTAAAAAAGTTAAATTTGCAAGTTATCCTTTGTGGTGAACTATTATTCGTGCTGCAGTTATAGTGATGTCAAACAATTCCTACCATTCAATATTAGAGTAAAGAGAATGATTTCTGGCAATACTAGTAACTTTCACAAAGAAGATCATGACACCTCACACTAGTATGGGTCAGGAAGAGACCCTCTACTGAAGAACTTCTAAAATTTCAAAACAGGGAGTCAAAAGTGCCTAAAATACATTTTTTTATTGGTAAAAGTGCCTAAAAGAAATTTAAAAAGGGAGCGGACTACTGTTTGGTAACTGATTACAAAGCCACCACGCAACCTATGCATAGTATGAACGTGAAAATATGAAATAGCCATCATCTAAATTCTAATGCTCACTTTATTTGCAATTTATACGGCTTAGCAGGAGCATGTATTCCTAGCTGATCAATTATGTCTAGTTGTATACACAGTTATCTGAAACAGGGTGCAAGTCTACTGAAATTTTGCCTCATGGACTTAAAGGGAGTTTTAAAAGTCTAATATCCTGCTATTCTCTGTCAAGCTCTCTTATCTTGCTTCAAGCCTACTCATTCTGTCGTTTCTTGGTGGAAATATACATGCTTGTGCGCTTTGATTTGCGTGCTACAGAAGAATTTCCAGTTTTCACTGTAGGTGGATTATGAAGTGGGAGTAGCTAAGCCTGCTGATCGTACTTTTTGTGATTATAACATAGCAAGGATGGCAATGGGGCAGAGCTTGGGCAGGGCGGGGCAGGGCAAACTCTAAACGGGGCGGGGCAGGGGAACTTTAAAATGGGGCGGGGCAGGGTACGGTAAAACTTAAATTTTGAAGAACTTTAATGGGGCAGGGCAGGTTTGGGTTTGGTTTGCCGGCTAAAATCGGGCCATTAACCGCAAGATGCCTGAGTATAGCATATATAGGCTATTACCTATTCAGCCAATAATCAATACAAAAAGGATGATCAATCACAGCCCAGTACAGGTTTTCTGCTTTATTACCTAAGTTTTGATTTAATCATTTTCTGATTAGTAATAATTGCCTTTTGATTTGTGTTCTTTGGAAAATTCAATTGAAAACTGATCAAAAATTGAATTATTTGGCCTAAAGATTGGATTTTTATCATTGCATGCATCTAAAGATTTGATTTTTATTTTCTTGATCTTTATTTCCTGCTATGCATGTTATTGAAAGTATTGATTTTTTCTTGATTTTTTAGAAAAAAATTGAATTGTTGATGGGTCATGTGGGGGTGCTGTTTTTATTTGATAGTCTAATTTTTCTGAATCATGGTGTTTTTCTAGGAAGTCTCTAGTGTACCGGCAATTGTAGACATCATCTTTTAGATCAAGGGGTGTTACCGTGGATCAATTAAGTGGTCTCACATGATGGTTAATATATACTATGTTATAATCGAAATCTTAATAACATGGGTTTGGAATTTAGTTTTTTCCTTTCTTTCATTAGCAATGTAAAACTAAGAGGCTGATTAATCTGGAGGCCATCCAATCCGGACTACAAAATTTGAATTGTCTAAGGGCACACTAATTTAGAATAAAATAAAAAGTTAAAAGAAAAAGATAGAGCACTGCAAAGTGGGATAGGAAAAAAAATTCAAATGGGGCAGGGCGGGGCAGGGCTTAATGGGGCGGGGCGGGGAAAAATTTTCAAAAAATGCTAAATGGGGCAGGTCAAAATCTTAGAGCGTCAAGGCTAGCCCTGCCCTACCCCATTTGCCATTCCTATAAACAGAGACTATTTATCACCTTTTCTTCGTTTGCCCCTGCTACAATGACGACTTGCAGCAGATGCTGCAGCTATGTGATGCATAGAGAGCCTCTGAAAAACTACCGCGCAGTCTATTCATCAAGAAAAAGGGGAAAAAACCTATCATGCAGTCTGTGTCTATCATATCTGGTCAGAAATGACACAAGAGCCCAGCTGAAATTGTTTGAATAGTTGTATCATTAGCAATGAAAGTAACTGTGGCTGGTCGGAAGCACATGCAGAAGCAAGAAGAACAAGGAGCGATCAGTTGGAACTTTAAGCAAAATATATTTGCTCAATATAGTGGTTTCAATGTTATCTTTCTTTGCCAAGGGTATGCAGTAGTATCTTCAGCTTGAACTTATAAAGAGAGAGAGAGAGAGAGAGTCTTATGAAAGCTGACACATACCACACAAAGACATGCAAACACGTATATTCATTGACTTAAGTTAGTCGCCCCCTGCTAGGCTGTTATAGTTCCTCAAGATTGTCCAAAATCCTGAAATTCAAGCTATAACTAACCTAACTCTTGCACGCTTAAACAAAGCAGTGAATGTTATTTATTCCTTAGCAAAGTAAACGTGACCTCATACTTTGAGCCTTTACTTTCATTACACCTACCAAAAATCATAAACATTTCAGAGCATCGGTAACAGACTTGAATGTTTTATATCAAGATGCAATGAAGTATAACTACAGAAGTGTGTACAGCTTCCAATTATAATAAAGATGAGATGGAGAAGTACCTAAGAGCGCGTGGACATTCAGACATCTTTAGTCTAACCTGAAAATAGATAAAATGTATTTCAGGAAAAGAAAATGATATCGCTATACATGTATGTATAAATGTATGCATATGTACCATATAGTCAGTACACTATCATGCTACCATTGTGATTCTCTATGCAGCAGAACCAATGGTTTGAGGTAACAACAAAAAATGGAAAAAAGTAAAGGAGTAGTGGATGATATTGTGGTCTTTCATTTGC